CACCCAGTGTCAGATTATCCTGGTAGCATTGATTCTGCACTTGCTCTATTACTATAGTACTACACTGGCTTCAACTATTATGAACGACTAGGTGTTTAAGGTTATCGATTTGTCGTATTATCTGGCTGTATAGCAAATGAAAACATTCAATTGACTATGCAAGTTCAAAATGTGTTTTAATATTTGTTTTTTTTGTCCATTTAGGGCCCCTTTATAACATATGCTACAGGCCCCGCACTAGCTTAATCCGGCACTGATGTCACCTACATGGAAATCGTAAGGTCTACAAATATAGGCATATTCAAGTGAAGAAAGGAATAATGTTTGACCATGTTTTCACGATTTACATGAGTAAACGCTTAGTAGTGCATTCAGTTATGGGAAGGCAAATGCAACATGCACTGTTCAGTAACGTTTGAACCAATTATACACATTTACATTTAACAGTAGTGGCGACATTTTATAGACTTACTGCTGATGTTCTCTTGAGCATTTGTTCCAACTGTAATAGGACTTGCCTGCAAAAGTTCGTGTTTTCTTGCTTTTATCTGAAATTTAGTTTGGTGTACACAGTACATCGCCGGGGGAAAAAAAGCAATGTTACACCAGTCAGAGCATTTTGTTGCCAGGCTATTAAGATGAATTGTAAGAAGGCAATGTGCTATTTGGTGTGGTGCTTATGCACTTTCGTCTTTCATGCCTAAACAAGCTGTCAAACCGGGCCAGTAAATGAGTCTTCAAATTCACCACTGCCAAAAGTAGAATTTCGACTGACGTGATATTTACAGAGTATTTGGCATTATGATTCAGTCCAGGATGTCGTCTGTTAGCGAGCCGTTGAGCTGTATTAATGTGCACCAATGTGTTCCTCTAGTAGCTGCAATAATAAACTAATACAAAAAATACTATCAAAAACCTGAAATTTGCTCGGTGGCGTCCCTGCGGTATAATCGCATGACACGCGTGCCCTTGTTTGCAAAGCTTGCTCTGTTGCGCTGGCTTAATAGCCCGCGTTCGCTGTCGTGCGCTTTGAATAAAATACGCGAACAAAGTTGAAGAAATATCAACGTTAAGCACAAACAGTCGCCTCGGTGGACAGCAGCGGCCGAGCAGCTCTTATTATATTTCGGTTGCTGAGCAGCGTGCTGTACACTTGGCAAATACAGTGAGGGAAAAAAGTATTTGATCCCCTGCTGATTTTGTACGTATGCCCACAGACAAAGAAATGATCAGTCTATAATTTTAATGGTAGGTTTATTTGAACAGTGAGAGACATAATAACAACAACAAAATCCAGAAAAACGCATGTCAAAAATGTTATAAATTGATTTGCATTTTAATGAGGGAAATAAGTATTTGACCCCTCTGCAAAACATGACTTAGTACTTGGTGGCAAAACCCTTGTTGGCAATCACAGAGGTCAGACGTTTCTTGTAGTTGGCCACCAGGTTTGCACACATCTCAGGAGGGATTTTGTCCCACTCCTCTTTGCAGATCTTCTCCAAGTCATTAAGATTTCGAGGCTGACGTTTGGCAACTGGAACCTTCAGCTCCCTCTAACAAATTATCTATGGGATTAAGGTCTGGAGACTGGCTAGGCCACTCCAGGACCTTATTGTGCTTCTTCTTGAGCCACTCCTTTGTTGCCTTGGCCGTGTGTTTTGGGTCATTGTCGTGCTGGAATACAGATCCACGACCCATTTTCAATGCCCTGGCAGAGGGAAGGAGGTTCTGACCCAAGATTTGATGGTACATGGCCCCATCCATCGGGCCCTTTGATGCGGTGAAGTTGTCCTGTCCCCTTAGCAGAAAATCACCCCCAAAGCATAATGTTTACCCCTCCATGTTTGACGGTGGGGATGGTGTTCTTGGGGTCATAGGCAGCATTCCTCCTCCTCCAAACACGGCGAGTTGAGTTGATGCCAAAGAGCTCCATTTTGGTCTCATCTGACCATAACACTTTCACCCAGTTGTCCTCTGAATCATTCAGATGTTCATTGGCAAACTTCAGACGGGCATGTATATGTGCTTTCTTGAGCAGGGGGACCTTGCGGGCGCTGCAGGATTTCAGTCTTTCACGGCGTAGTGTGTTACCAATTGTTTTCTTGGTGACTATGGTCCCAGCTGCCTTGAGATCATTGACAAGATCCTCCCGTGTAGTTCTGGGCTGATTCCTCACCGTTCTCATGATCATTGCAACTCCACGAGGTGAGATCTTGCATGGAGCCCCAGGCCGAGGGAAATTGACAATTCTTTTGTGTTTCTTCCATTTGCGAATAATCACACCAACTGTTGTCACTTTCTCACCAAGCTGCTTGGCAATGGTCTTGTAGCCCATTCCAGCCTTGTGTAGTTTTACGATCTTGTCCCTGACATCCTTGGAGAGCTCTTTGATCTTGGCCATGGTGGAGAGTTTGGAATCTGATTGATTGATTGCTTCTGTGGACAGGTGTCTTTTATGCAGGTAACAAGCTGAGATTAGGAGCACTCCCTTTAAGAGTGTGCTCCTAAACTCAGCTCGTTACCTGTATAAAAGACACCTGGGAGCCAGAAATCTTTCTGATTGAGAGGGGGTCAAATACTTATTTCCCTCATTAAAATGCAAATCAATTTATAACATTTTTGACATGCGTTTTTCTGGATTTTTTCTTGTTGTTATACTGTCTCTCACTGTTCAAATAAACCTACCATTAAAATTATAGACTGATCATTTCTTTGTCAGTGGGCAAACGTACAGAATGAGCAGGGGATCAAATACTTTTTTACCCTCACTGTACGTATGTACATCTTATTCTGGAACTGTAACGTTTGACATGGGTAGACAGAGTTGAGATGGCCAGTTGAGAATGCCATCGGATGCGACGTGAACTCTCGTAGTCATGCCGAGAGGGGACGACTGCTCGCAGCCCGTTTCATTTTGTAACGTTGGCCATGAGCCGCAGTGTACATCGTCTTTTAATCGTCGCCGCTCGTGCATCGGATACGATCCACATCGCCCACGGGAAGCCCCTGATGTGGTTTTGGATCGAACTACTTGCTGCCGGGATAGCGCCAGGCCAGGAGGTTCGGCCGTAGGATATTCAATTAGGCTCTTAATAAGTAAATAGATATTTAGAGTTTATTGTAGCTGCTCTGATGTAGAGAGCAGAGTTACTCCGGTCTGCTTGCAAACAAGCTTAAGTTTCTTAATGAGTCATGCCACGATTGATTTACATTTGTTTAATTTCATTCTAGAATTACCATATTCTCCATATTATAATGCACACTTTTATCCCAGGGGGCGGGGTGCAATTATATAGTGCAGAGAATGCATTGTCTTTTGCGGAAGTCATGTTTTAATTTAGTTAAAAAAAATCTTCTGATGCAACAACAACGCCAACAAAGTCCTCCGCTGAAATACATCACCACCAAGTGGACGCAAAACCACCACCAGCGGCAGCCGCTCATAATCAGCTTCTGGAAGATGGCTGCTTCTGCCGTACCTTATTGTTCACACTTTTTTCATGAACAACCCCGAGGTTTGGGGTTGCGTTTTACTTTCTGGCGCGTCTTATTATCAAGATAATACGGCATTGCCGACTGTTGCTGTTGAGCTGTCGTAGGCTAGAGTTAACTCTGTTTCGCTCCAAATATCTCAGAGTCCCCCTGTTGTCGACACTTTGTCTACACTTTGATGCATATGGCACTTATTAGCTTAGTCTCGTAAGCGATGGTACTGCGAGTAACCCACCACAAGCCTTTGAGCCACACAAACCGGCAGTGTAAAAGGTAAGAACAGCTGTCAAGCTCCATGCATAAATAAACCTTCACTCTTGCCAGTGCCACTAGAAAGGACCTCTGGACCTGAGTGGCCACAGGTGCATGCGTGTGCAGAATAGCAGGAATATAAAGTGGGCAGTGCCTTGCCCCTGTACATATGTTTAGGGTTTTTTTTGTACGGTAGGATTATTATGCAACATCGTTCCATGTGGGCCGGTGTCCCAATTGACTATATTAATGAAGTGCTTTACACAGCCAGCTTTTTGAAGCATTCATCAGCAACCTTAGGCTCAGATTAATAAAACGGTACAAAGTCTGTAATGACACCGTTGGGAAATGGAAAGATGCATTTTTGGAATTGCTTGACGTGACAGCTTTGCACCAGAGGGAAACGTTGAATATTTAGACATCAGGCTTAAGTAGACCACGTGGACATGACAGGACATACTCCTGGAAGAATTGGCAACCGGTGGATAGAGATAAAAGAGAAAAAAAACAACACTTAAGATAAGGATGGACTCGAAGTTGTCATCAACAAATGTACTATAAAAGCTGTTGGTGTGCAATAGTCAAACGGAATGCAGTCGGCAAAAGCAAAACATTTTCCTGTACCAATATTGAAACAATAAATTAACCTGCCTGCAGTTTAAACACTGAAATAATAATGAAGCAATACGTAAATACAGTTCCCTACGTGTTTCTTCGATGTTGAATCACTCCCCGAGTACTGTGGATATAGACATGGCAAACAAATGTTGAAGCTCTGCAACGCTTGCTCGATGTTTTTTTTTTGTGAAGATGCTGACGCCCTCCTTGAATCTTAAACACGTTGGGGTGACCCGTGCTTGGGACACGCGGATACCCAATTTGAGGATGGGCTTCGTTTAAGAAAGCTGCGTGGCACAGAGCTGGGGCTCGCCATGCATCCTTCGCATTTTAAAATACTCGTTGCGAGTCAAACAAAGGCATAACAATGAGACGAGGGACGTGCCTGTCCTACGGTGCACAAATGTGTGCCGCATGACGCAATGCAGAAAGACACTTTCCCACGATTAGCTTTCGTACGCACGACCGTCGGCTTAATTCGATGCAACGTGCGAACTCTCGCACTGCCGATGTTTAAACAATGCCAGGCCGCTTCGCAAAGGCAGCCTGGTGGCGCAGCGTTTGCCAGTACGATGTTCCGCGTTGGTTTGTTGTAATTGGTCCTCTGGTTTGTTTTTTATCTCCTGCATGCAAAGCGCTCGCCGAGGAATTTGTCAAACGTCCCAATGCAGGTAACGCCTTCGAAGAGCCTGGAGACTCTTCCTGAAACTTTGTTGAATGAATGAATGAAAAACATTTCAATTAAAATTACCCGGTTTGTGCTAAAATTCCTTTCCGCGATAATATCGATTGGAAGGAATCCGTTTTGGAGGTGCATTTTGCTATGATTGTTACAATGTCCGGTAATGTGGAGGCATCACATTGATCATTGATGGCTCCTACGATGTAAGGGCACTCTGGTAGCAATTTTAATTCGACTACACCTTGCAAACAGAACTGATTGAAATCAAAACTTGTCCAAACAAATACTTGAGGGCAACATTCATTTGTAGGGCCTGTTGTCCACAGGCAATACATGTTATTTTCTTCAAGTCATGAAAGAGAGACCCTCATATCCTCTTGTTTATTTTTCATCTATGGAAATGCATACAAGTCAATTGCAAGGCTGTCCAGTTCCAATTTTCAATACAAACCGTGTTTTCCTTTGGCCTGGTCATATATTTTATTGAAAGCTCATGGGATTTTCACCAGGACACTTAAGGTTAACACCTTGGATCCCTGCTCTCTGCTTTAAGAGCTCATGAGATCAACCATCTTGTAGAGAGGAGAAAAAAATAATCAAATAGTTCATGCTGTTTGTGGGAATCCAATAAAACATTTATAAGAGACTATGAGAAAATCCAATAGAAATCTATTGCTTGTGTCGCCGAGGTTAATGTTTACACTAATAAAATGTAATCAAGCCTTGTGGCTTTTACAGAACATCACATTAAAGAACATTGCCCCTTCATGTAACCATTCAAGTTATGAGCAAGGTCAGACAATGCACACTTAGAGTCGCCTTCATATTTAATTGTGAAAAATAGCTTTTTCAGAATTGGAGAAACTCATTTTCATCTTCCCGTACGCATGTATGAATAATTTTTTTGGCTTAAGCACAAGGCCAGGGTTGAGTGGGTGCACAATGTTCAGTTTTAACCGTGCTTCTATCTTTACGATCCATAAGTAATTCGGTTCTTAGAAGGCCAAATTACCCATTTCAATTGGCTTCCATAGCAAGCGAAGAAGGCGCCTTTTCCCCCTGGGTCGTCTCAACCTGACGTGAGCACCAGGTGCTGTGTCGTTTTGGCAGAGCCAAAGGTAGAGGTGGCCAAGCGTGGAGCTGGACGTTGAGCCTCATTGTTTGCCGGGTCATTAAACCAGATGCTTCCCAGGGAGCACTTCCCTCGGCCCATGGCTCAAAGAGAGCCGTGCGTCACACTTCTGCACACCACTAACTAATCTGCAGGAATTCCATTGCATTGCGTTATGTAGCTGTCCAATTTGCAGAAGCTCTCGGAATGTGGAGTGAAATGTCGAACATCGTATCTGATATGTATGTTGAACGTATGTATGTTGAACGTCTTTCGCACCGTACGTGGTCAACCGTGCTAATCGGAGGTGGATAACGTGCGGTACAACCCTAAAACGCAATCGGAGAGCTGTGATCACAATACAACTGGTATTATATCAGGGGTCCTTAATAGTGATGAGTTCAAAGGCAGTGTCTTTCTGGTCAAATGAACAACGGCATAGCGCTCATGCTTGTTGTGATGAACCATTGCCAGACATTCCACATTCAGAGGGCAGTGGCCACTTCGCACAGGATGATGATGCTGAACTTCCTGTAAACTGAAACTCGGCTTTATCTCTGATGAAAGGACGAAGATTCGAGGTGATTGATCCCTGACCAGGATTTGAACTCGTCTTGCAGAGTTCTCAAGCTCCAGCCAATTGTATACAAATTATTGTTATCGCCAATGAGGTATACCTTTCATTGTTTAATACTAATTTAATATCAAAAGGAAAAAAATAATGTTACATTCTTTTAAGCCCGATTGAAACCAGATAGAGTACATTTGGAGAATGCAGGTTAAGTGTTTAGCGTTCAACCAGTCTCCCATACCTTGTGGGAAGGAAGAGAAAAAGGTGTTGTGGCAGATAAGGGTTTTCCCAGTAAATAAATAAATAACCGCTAGATAAAAAGAGGGAGATATTTTGCTCTGATCGCCGTACGGCTTTGCCTTGCGCTGGGGTTTGTCGACGGAATATAGAGTGGCAGGTGTGAGGCAGGTCAAAAAAATCAATACCAAAGACAAAACATCCCCCCCCCCCCGTATAGCCTTAACAGACTTTCAGGGCAAGTGCCGTTAGCGAGCACCAGCAACATCCGCGCCGCCTCCGAAGGCCGGCGTGGGAAAAAGGAAAAAAAGTCAATGAACACCACATACGACGGCGCATTGAGGTCTTCACCACCCACAGGTGGTGTTGCATCAACGGATTCTGTCCGGGGATGACGCATGCTTCCGCAGCAGATTGTTGGGGCTGGTGTTGGGACACCTCCCCCCCCCCCCCGTCTTCTGCTCGGCTTGCTAAAAAAGCACGACCTGGGTGACCGATGCAAACTTGGGAAAAGTTTTCCCTCGGCGTGGCGTGGGGGGGGGGGGGGAGGGGGTTTGGGGTGTTTAGGATTCCGCATTTTGAACTTTTCCCCCAGATTTCCCATGCGATATGCAGCGTGGCATGGCCCCGCTTTTGAAGTGTTGCCTGCCAAACCTGATAGATAGACTCTTGCAGCGGAGAACGCAGAGTCCTCATTAACCACTTCCCCCCCCCGGGTTTAGCAGCTGCACATTTTACCTCTCCAGTGTGCGAGTGACCACCGATGTCTGCAGAATTGGGAAATTGGAGAAGCAGAAGTTGTTTAATTTTAGATGATGTGCCATTAAAAATCACAAGGTGGTTGTGTGGCTCGTGGGGGCCTCAAAATAACCAAGTTTCCTCGCTAAGCCAAATCCACCGAGATTATTGGGGTTTAAATTGTGGCAGCGTTCTGCGATTAAACAGAGTTCTCAAGCTCAGTGGGTTGATTATCATGGCCTGTTCACAAATCGCTTTATCGCCTTCAAAACGTTTCGTGTTTCGTCATCGTTGCTTTTCACCGACTTCATCCCAGTCCAGTTGAGAGGAATAAACATTTTAAAAAATTATCCTAATTTTCTTGGATGCTGCGAACATTTTGTTACGGAGTCTTAAGGAAGTCGGCACCTATGGAGGTCTTTTCTTGTGTAAGCTTGTTTCGGACTCATTGCTGAAAAGATGTCGCATTCTGCTGCCTATGATAATTCTAGGAGGACGTTCTTCATCTCATTATAATCTGCGATATAACACAATTATGATATAAACGTTGATAACAAATATTTTCTGATCCTCCTCAGTGATCATTTTATTGCAAGGTTATTATACCTGCCCCTACTTGACATTTATGAAAAAGAGCTGCAAAGCTCATCGGACTTCTCCAGGATAAATAAATATTCTGATTGCATGTTTAAATTTTTTTTTTCCTGGATATTTTTTTTAATATCTTTTGGGTTTTTTTACACATTACGAAAAATCCCAGGCTGTGTAATACGAGACCGAAAAACATCGATTTTTGGGGGGATTTAAATCACCAGCGAAACGTCGTGCTCGAATTGTAAATGTTGTGGGTTTACTCTCCAACAATCCGGTGTGCCGAAGTAGCCACTAATTGCACGTTTTGTTCACGTGACAAACTTTACTAAATGACAGTTGGCTGGTGGCGGAATTTAACGACACATTTATGTTTATGCTATCTAACCCAAAAAAAAACTTTATTGTGGATTATTTTTTATCGAGTTGTGACCACTAATCGTGACAATTCATCGAATCGCTAAGTTGAGGGTGGGGGGGCGGTGGTTGAATCATTACACGCATAATGCAGTGCACATCGTTATTAATCGCTCTCTTCACCTACGCTGTACCGTGTTTGATACTCTATCTTTCTACGCTCATTTTTACTCAGTTTTTCTGAATTTGTTGTTGGCAGTGAATTCACAATCAATAGATGCCCCATAACGCCAGCCAGCAAATCTTGAAGTGCATTATTTTTTAAAGCGCTCTCATGTAATCACACTTTTCTTTTTACCTCCTCACTCGTGGAACGTTCTATATGCTGACATTATAGGGGCATGCACCGCAAAAATGAAATTGAATGGGAGCCCCCGTAGAGAGCAATAAAATGCAAAGGATATCCGGCTTTGAATGGAAGAACATACCGGCTAATTTTTTTTTACATTTTCAATAATGAATGCGAGAACTACTCATGCTTCGCACTTTATGTACACGGCGCGTTTGCGTAAATGCCGGGATATGTTCGAATTAACGTAACATTCCGAGAGAAGTAGAGGTCGAAAAAATATGCACATTGTCTCTCTAGCTTTACATCTCTAACTTTTATTTTCTCGTTGTGCTCTTTGCACGTGTGAGTGCCCGCGCGCCTCGTGCACAGATTCCGCTATCTCTTCGTGTTCGGTGCATGAGCGCCGCTCACTCTTGGTGTTCGCGCTCGTTGGCAACTGTGCTTGAGAATGTAATGAGGCACTGACTTTCCCAATATTCACCTCGTGGCCACGCCACAAGCAGCAGTAGCAGAGCACCACTTAGATAGAATCCGGAAAGCGAAAACCCTGGGAATTGTATGACAGACTTTGTGACAAATGACTCTTCAGCCAAAACGCGGGTGCCGTGCTGTGGTCTTGACTATTCCCAAAGCAGATTACGTGCGTGCGAACGCGTGTGGTTAGCATTGTTTTCACGTTTTCCCCTCTTCTCACCCCCAATAACCTTAACCCTGCCCCCCCCCCCCCCCCAATGCTGACCCCCTCACATTGAATACATATGTTTGAATGTCCTACGAAGTGAAATGGTGCGCCATGTAAAATAATGCTGATTTCACTATTAAAGCGCCTTGCAATTTTTTTTTAAAGGTGCTATATAGACTCTTAATTATTATTATCACCACTATTGCTATAATATACGACCGCCAGTACATCACGTTACTATTTAACTTTTGTTTAATTATGCTAATCCACTTATTAATTGCAATGCTGAGTGTAATCATACAGTAGATCGTCCTGTGTGTAGCAGTGTGGTGATTAATGTCCAATGCATCACACATGCTGTTAATGCAGTCCCGATAGCTCTCATCTGCGCCACACAACGCACCCGTTCAACCCACACTCGCCCGCACTTTGTATCTGAAAACCATCCGCATTATTATTATTATTCTGGGCACGTGTCAAAGAATGTGTGTTTTAGCACGAGGCCTTGCCGCACACATCTCACCCGCACAAAAGATGTTACCTTGAAACGAGCCATCCTGGGCACCTGTTTTGTTTGGGCACAGTGGTATTTTGCGCGGCCAGTTGTTCCACGTGGATTACCAAAGGGCTTTTTATATTTCCTTCTCCTGGGAAGTGTGCGCGCTTGCATGGAAATGCTCGGATAAGTCACGTGACGGAATTCAAAATTAATAGCAATGCATCAAACGCACGCTTCCGTTCAGGTGTTGTGGTGCTTTCCCCTCCCAACCTTTTTTTTTTGGTTGCGTGGCATTTTTATCACCCAATTTTTTTTTTATCATTGAAGAGCTTGTTGAATAATGTATTAGCTAACATTGAATGAGGTTTTTAATTTTTTACCAATGTGAATGTGTTCAAAGGACATATCTGATTGGATGCCGATGGCCTTATACAATTGCAAGCGATATGTTAGGTTTACATTTAGGGTACTTAAAAAAAACACACGTGAATTAATGATAACATAGCTTAGACAAGTGTCACTTCACCTAATTCATGCAGTGTGTAGTTCATATCTGAACTTAGCAATATCGCAGGCTATCTGGTGATGTCCACCGTACGCGTGTGAGTTTGCTGGTGCACGTTTTTCCGCTTTGTACGTATATATTGTTGTGCATGAAAATACCATAATTGTTTTTACATCACAAGTATAAATTTGGGATGCTGTGTAGAACTGCAGTGGCCTTCAGCATCGCGATTCTAGGGGCGGTGACACGGCCGAACAGGAGCGTGCTTGCCACTTGTTACAGCTTTGCGGTTTGAGCCCATCGGCTGCCGTGGTTAATACTGCGGACTCGATTAATGTACTTAATGTACGTTGAACATCTTTCGCACACCGTTACGTAGCCAACGGAGGTGTGGGCGAAGGACAACAAACGAAACACGAAATTAACCAGAAACACGGACCGCCTACTGCGCAGTGGACATTAATGTGATGTAAATCGAAAAAGAGTAGACAATGTGTGAAGGCTTCACTGGCCAAACATGACACGTTCGACATGTAACTGCAGATAACCTAATTTGGGGAAAACCCACACAGCAACATCGCCCCTGGACTGGCAGACCGTCTGTTGAAGCAGAGCACCTTTGTGATATCCTTGCACGATAAGAATTGTGCAACTACAACATATATTAAAATATTATCATTATTCATTCAGTAATAGTGAAATGGAGTGGGTAGCCCAAATGATTATATTTCTCACATGAGATATATTACTTGCTTAGAAATAATAGTGATTTCGATTTCCATTCCAATTGCCCTTAAGGTTTTTAGCTACCGTTGATCCCTCAAGGCTAAACTGCTGCAGGCAAAAATGTGGCCTCGGAACAATGCAGTCATACGTAGGATGGTGAACACTTGTGAACATGTGCGTGCGCGCCCCATGTCCCACGCGTTTGACGGGTTGTGCGCGATACCAAGCCTTGTATTCTTTTCCTGCCGGAAAAGCGCTGCGTTTGATTAACGAGGAGTGTGTGTGTGTGTGCGACCGTTAGACCATACCGCAGCCAATTGCGATGGAGCCATGCGCAGGGAACCGTGCGGCCATATACTCAGTGCTGGTGAGACTGCCCCGGGGTTTGAACGCCTGCCCACCGCCCGGACAGTCAGGTGGGTTTTGTGCACGTCATTGTGGCTGGTACGCGGGGCGCGCGAATGTGTGTGTGTGTGTACACGTGTAATTGGATTTGTACAAAGTCGAGACCTTCCCCAGAAACCCGGGCGAATGGAGGAGTTTGTTTCGGGTAGCTGAGAGAAAATGGTAGTACCACTCCCACCAGTTTACAACATCCCACGTCCGAGAATGAGGAGGCTTACCGCAGAACTTCGACCAGAGGTTTGGCGCTGCAAAGGATGTCGTGGTCACAGGGTTGCTAAGGAGATTGGAACTGTCTCAGCAGCTCGCGTTTACAAATCACTGTTTAATTCCATCAAAAAAGTAATTTGCGGCATCACACCCATTACGATCATTAGGGGAAACTGTGGTGATGAGTTTTCTGACCCCCAGGAACAAGTTTACAGATTTGCTGGGCAATTCCGCAAGGTCTTGGAGGTGAGGGCAAGCCCGACAAAACTTATATAATATCATGGGGCAAGGTGCTGGCTGATGTGCCATCTTTTTAGGAAATGCGAAGAGCGATCCAGAGCCTGAAACCAGGTAAAGCACTGGGCAAAGTTGACCTCCCGAGCAAACTAAACTTAAACTAAAGTATTTTTTATTTTGCCAGGTAAGGCCGACTGAGCTACATAGCTCTTTTCAGAAGCGACACGGCCACAAATGATAGCTCAACAAAGTTGCTTATGTGGAAATGTATAGCAGCCAAATACTCTAAACGCACGCTTATTCTAAACATGAAGGGAAAAACTGGAGGACCCCGAGAAAAATCCACGCGACTACGGGGAGAGCATGCAAACTCCGAATATACAGGTGTCAGGCTCGGGATCAAACCCACGACCTCCTGTATACCAGGCGAGGTAGTTAACATCTCGCCACCGTGGCACTGAGGGCGGGTGGCGATTGTGTTAAGGCTGCCCTATAGGGTATTATTACAACCGTTTGGGCCACAGGGCGGGTTCCATCGGACACTGATTGCAACAACTACCGGGGGGGACATCTACCCTCCTCAAACAAAGTGTTCCTGGAAAAACAGTTCTGCTGCGGACAATTCAACATATATCATATCTCGCTCCGTCTTACAAGGAGTGCAGTGATGTGTTCTGCCAGTTGGGGTTCACCTGTTTTTACACGTGTTCACGTGGTCTGCAGATTTACACGAGACTTCTTGTAGTCGGAGAATCTGTGGCCTACCCGCCTGTAACCTCCAGCATATAAATTCTGTCAATGTCGTCCAAAGTATCAAAATGGCTGTTTGCAATCTAAACTGCAGCAAGCAATGCTTTCTTTAAAGTGTTTTTGTAGCTTGGCTGTTTTCCTTGTGAAAAATAAAACTGCTGACCCAACTGATCTCTGTCTAGGGTCAGAATAACAATCACTGAATCTGTGAGTCCTAAAACAACCCACATGTTGTGCCCTTCTATGCAGCTTGATGGGTTTGTAACCCATAGTCATACCTTTGTTTAATATGAACGTTATTGATTTAAATAATATTTAATGTGTCATTACTCAAGAACACAGTCTACTCCTGGGAGACCCAAATAACTTATTAGCTGATGTTTGCATTCAACATTTTGTTGGAAGTATTATTTGTTTAAATTTGAATGCACACGACTGAAATTCTTAATTGGTCTGTAATAAAAAAAGGGTAAATTAGCAGCCCTGCAATGTGATGCTCATGCGACTGCTGGAGGAACGACCTCCACTGGAAGGAACCTCTCACTCGAGTAAACTCAAGACGGCTTCCTCTAGAAAGTATTTAGATTACTCTTCTATGTTGGCCAGAAGTCCTGTGAGCGGTGGGAATACCGACACTCGACCCCACCACTTGAACCTGCTGATGAACTTCACTGTGGTGTACCCTGTAACGCTGCTGGCTGGACAGGGACGTCGGGATTTAACCCTTCCCCGTTCCGAGACGCCTGCCTGTTGAAGGGTGGGTGTCCCGTTCACCGCTGAATCTCGGAACGCGCAAGCGGTTAGCGTACATTTTATTTAGAGCGGCATAGTAGCGCTGCTGTCTTTAAAGACATTGTCCGGTGCGCACCGCAGAGAACCGTAGCTACACGACCGTGGCGACAAGCTGTGCCACACGCCCTCCCGTATGGCCTTTCGCTTCCGATTCCATTCGGAATCTGTTCCGTTCCGATGGTGTAAACGTACGCAATCGGAATGGAATCGGAAGATGATTGACGACGTCCACGAACAGGAAAGGGGTAAAAACCTTGCCCCATTGTTGTATCTGTTACACCGGGAGATCGAACCGGCAACATTTTGGAGTGTGTGCTAACAAGTACACCTTGGTGGGACCCCTTGGCCTGTAATATCACAATAGAGCCTTCCTTAGTTTATTTAAACATTTTATTTTGGGATCTTTAATATCAGACCTTGGTTTTCCTTGTCAGACATACTGAACGTTAGACAGTGGAAAAAACAATAAACATGCAGCCTTTCGAGATCATTGTGAAGCTGATTGGTCATAATCTTTTGACTCTGTAGCAGACACCTGCACACTTGCACTGAATTTATTAATCGGCCTATTAAGGTGAAAGTACACTGGGAAAAAAAACTGTGCTGCTAACGACCTTTTAATGCAGTTTTTATGTCTGCCCAGCTTAAGGGCATGCGGCAGACAAATGGATGTATTATAACCACCTGCTGACTCAATCAATAAGAGGTGGGGGGGGGGGAGGAGGAGGACGACGGTGTGTCTCTGGCCCTGCCTGCCAACATGCACACCGCGTATGAAACGGCCGTTCTAAAATTGTTGCTGCCGTTCCAATTGCGCCGGATAGAATCCTTTTGGTAAAATAGCAGTCGGCGGGGGTCAGCTTCGTCGCGGTTTTTCCATTTAGGGACAGGCGCCCGCCCGCCCTTCCGTCCGTCCGTTCAACCAAATTCATTGGCTGTGCAAACACATCGCATGCAGCGACATGCGTGCACCGTGATTATTGGGAGCCGGGAGGTGAAGGCGATGGGGGAATCTGCAAGGCAAGATTTCCCAATTTATTAGTCATTCTCTTTTGGTACGTCCGTCTCAGAATACATATTTTATTATTGCTCAGCAGAGCGCGTACCGCAGTGTTTTTACTAATGGCCCCAAAAAACACCTGCAGATAATGGTCTAAAATTGCAAGCATGTTAATCTGGCTATGTGGAATACAATGTGCTGAGGATAATAACGTGTAAGTTTGCGTGTGTTTTTTAGTCTTGCATTTATATGCAAAACATTTTCTTCATGCGACATAATGTGAAGATATTTAAATAAGTCCCATTTAGAGAGCCAGCCTGCACAAAGTCGCACACTGGAAGTTGTTAATCATTGTATAATCTTGCACCGAATTACTGAACTGTGATTGGGAGAATAGAAAATCTCAAACAAACATTGCACTTTCAATACCATGCCGGTTGCATAGGATTAAATGTGTTGCGTTGGCAAGACGGAAGTTAATCTTTCTGGAATATGCTCAAATCGTGCCATTATAAGGATGCTCTCCTTTTTGTAATCACAAAAAAATCGAATTTAATATTTAGCTGAGGTTTCTGTGGTGTGGTACCACCATCAACAACAAAAACAAAAAAAATATTCTCTCCAACAAAGCGCGATTGTTATTATTACGCTTTCCCTCTTCGCCATTACACACAAATTGCGCATTTGAATTGCACTCCCAACTTGGAAATGTACTCAAATTTGGGATCGCACAGAGCAGTCGCCACTTACTGGGAAAACCACCCTGGCAGCAGGACCAGGATCCTTCCTGAAAAAAAGAGCCACGTGACTCTCACTGATGCTTTCGCAGATAAGCAAATTTAATCATGGAAATAATAACATTACCTAAAGCCCTTTCGCTTCTCTTTGTAAAACTGACATTAAAGACCCAATGACAGTATTCAAATTAATAAGCCGTCGCGCTCCCAAGTTTTGGTCCAAATATTTCACATTTGATGAAGATGAATATATCAATTGGCTAATGCAATTAGTATAATTAAAAAAACAATGCCCAATGGATATTAGATATTTCATTAATATTAGATGCAAACATCTCAGTGGTCCTAGCCCGCATAAATATGCCTCCAATGAATATATGTAGTAAGAGAAAAAGCAATGAGTCTCCACTAGTACAACTCTTAAATTGCTATCCATGGAAACTCCCCACAGTTGTAAGACTTCAAAGGGTCCCTTTGCATTGCTTTAGCATTTTGTTCTGATCGGACTTCATTTAAAAAAAAATGCTTTTGGGGAAAGGATTATTTTTAATTGAAATTAAAATTCTAACCCTGTGCTGCCAATAAACTTCCCACCGACAAACATCCCAGCATGACGTCAATTTGTTGGTTTTTTTATGCTCCCTGAAAATCGCTGTTGTGATGCATCGGCTGTGTACTTTGGCTCTGCGCGTATTATTTGAGTGCGCATTCCCTTGCAGGCAAGCAGGCAGGCTTTGTGTACATATTTCGTGCAATGGGATGGCCGTTTGAAAATTGTGGATGTGTAATGAATGCATTATTGTTCACTGGTCACGGTGATGTGTGAGGGGTTGTGCATAAATCACATGGCAGGGATATGCAAATGCATGGGCTCATTTTTTTGCCGCAAGTTCATAAGCACGCAAGTTCATAAGCACGCATGTTTGCAGAGATCCAGAGATCCACATTGGGAAATTACTTATTGAACAAAGTTGGTGGAAGTGCAGTTTCATGAAATTTTATTAAAACAACCATTTCTCTGTATGTGCATGGATAAAAAAAAATAATGTCACACCATAAATATTAACGTTTGTCCACGCGCCCACGCGTGTACGCACACCTGCACGCACGCGTGTCTGTGTGTGTGTGTTGTGCATGGCCGTGCTGTTGCTGCTTGCCAGCTGTGCCATGGTTACTTCCTACTGCCAGTGTCCAGATGAGTGGGAATCGTCTTGTCCATCTGCCATGGGCCTTCCTGAGGCTGCTCCCCTAAATGGGCATCCAGATGTGGGTGCAATCCACACCAGCTCTGGAGGGCCAAGTAGTAGGCACTGGAGAGACAACGTTTGGTCTAACTTTCCATCCCATATTCTTAGCTATTTTCGGTAAAGAGCTAAGAGTATGAATTACTGCAGTCACGAAATCTTTAAATCAAAATGTTCCATCCCATGTCCATGTTTTCTGTCGATACATAAAATGTTCCCCAAGACTTTTAAAGCTATATTCATAAATTGAGTCAACTCAATCCATCGTTGATGGAATTACAGTAGGACCAGTTTGTGAAAAGAGACGCCCGCCAAAAGAATGTTGCACTGGGCTGTCGATGGTGATATGGGTCGCTCCACAGTGAGAATCTGAATTAATCAAGGAGAGGTTCACTTTGTATGTGTGCTCTGGACATGAGTATGTGAAGTGATTGTGTGTAACCGGACGTGCATGTCCGTGCACGTGCAGGTCTTGCCTTGGCGAGCGCGCTGGTGGATATCTCACACTACAAGCCCAGTGAATCCAAGGAGAAGGCAGCAGCTGTTCGGAACCGCAAGCACCACCCGCCCGCCCAACCCGGAACTTGTGTATGAAGCAGGCCAGACGGCTTGCCCTTGGGCCCACCATCCAGCCCACCGTGCAATCGACAAGCCAGCCAGCCGAAAAAAGAAACAGCCAGTGGCATGGCCAACCTGCCACTCAGCCTGCCACCCATCGAGGCTACTTGCCCGGTCTTTCGTCAGCTTTGAGTCTAGGGCAGCTGGACAAAGCGTGGGTGTGGATGGATGGACGGGAAGAGAGCAGTGATGGAGATTGGTTTGAGGGTTTGGTTGAGCAGCAAAGGAAGTCCTGTCCGTTATTCCAGTGAATGTGTTTTAGAGATTAATTAGAGCGGCGGTGTAAAATACATGCAATTGTGCGCGCTCGGTTTGGGATTTAAGCCTCGGTGTCTGTCCCACAGTGTGTTTCATTGATTTTTTTCACAAGTCACCGAGTATTGTTTCGTCACTTTACAAAGACCAATTACCGTCTGCGTTGCGAGTGTGCGTATGCGGGCATGCTTGTGGCGTGTGTATATGTGTGTGCGCGCACACGTGTGTGAACTTGCGCGCGTGCAAGCTTTGCGTGCTCTGCCATGCATACTTCACGCGTGTGCACATCTACTGCACGTGCTTTTGGCTGGCGAGTAGACTGGTTTATTTGTTTACGGATTGCTGACCTTACTAGTTCCCTTACGCTCATTTATAGAATTAGTCTTAGAAAGCAAAGATTTGATTTTAACAAATTAAAAGGACATCGAGCTAACTTCCTTTCGCGAGAGCTGAAATAACCTTTAGGTTTCACGAGTAATTTTTGTTAATTACCTACCTTGTAACAAAATGGTGTACAGAAAGGAATATTCATGAACGTACTACTAATAATAATACTATATTCCACGCAGAATCGTGTTAATAGTCTTCACTCTAGACTGGTTCTTAATAGTGGCTGAGTTTCTTTAATGATGATGAGCTTCACAGTGATGTGGCCCTAATTAGGGGTAATTACAGGAGGTGGAGGAATATTCTTCTTTCCACATTGCTCATGAGCATTTGAGCTCATTTAGCAAGCGAGGAAGGGGGACGGGGAGATGAGGGGTGCCGGTGTGTACCCACGAGAACAAATCGCTACTTTTTATTTTTATATTGTCATTCACATTGTGCTTATAAGCCTGGAAGTCCAAACGTTAACCTTCTGAATTAATGTAAGACTCCTAAGAGGTACTTTCAACTTAGATTTCTCGTTCTTTTTTCACTTTCTGGCAAGTTATCGTTCCTAGCTTATGTTCCTTTATTTAGTTAACACGCTGTCAACCCAAACTCGAAGCAGAAAAGACGTGGGACTGAAGAGACATTCCTTATTTGAAATGAATGCTAATTTTTACACGTGCGGTTTTTTTTTTTGCTCTATTTATTTTCGCGCAAGAGGAGTCTTGCGGTCGCTGTTTCTCGCTCGGTCTCTCAACAACAGGAAAAGGAGAGAGACCCGGAGTGCGTTTCACGTCTCGTCGAAACGAAACCAAGTACCGTCGTGAAAACCAGAAGCCTGCCCACCCACCCCCCCCCCCTTTGTCAGTCACGATGTCGTCTGCCACACTGTGTATGGTAGTCAAATGCCCGATATGCAATGAATTGTAATATAAACACCGCACACATGAAATGTACAATATCGTATGGCAGTAACTTGAGTTGTCTGTAAGCGGCCGCCACTTTGTGTGTGCGCGCTTTAGCCCTTTGGGAACGACGTGGGCACCGTTGCATTTATGTTTTGCTTGGATCGAAACTCTGTCTTGTATAAAAATAAAATGGGGAGGGGGGGAAGTGAGAAGAATAAAAGAAAAAGCTACAAAAAAAGAATAAAACTCAAAAAATCCTGCGGGGGCAAGGGAGGGAATGAAAGAAAAGCAAGAGAAATATTACAACACAAATTACCGAGCAATATATCTGCATAACTATAGAGAGAGAGAGAACAACTTTCTATGTCTGCATGCATCACAGTTGTGCTCTTCCCCACCCACCACCACCACCACCCCGGGCAAGAAATACACAAGGCTGTGTGTGTGTGATCTTTATCAACAACAAAAAAGAAACAAATGAAGACTGTTTCTCGCATTAGATATGATGACATATCTGTAAAATGTTAGCAAATGTATTAAACAGAAAAAAAGATTTAAAAAAATAGTTTTTTGATTATGTTTACTGTAAATATGTGCTGTTGTTGACGCCAACTGGCAGATTGCAGAGTCGTGAGAGAGAAAAACAACTCCCAAGTATTGCGCTATCAAGAATTCGTGTGCCCCGATTACTGCGGATTTGGGGGTTGAATGCGAGGCCCGAGAGAGCGCCGCTCCCCTCTGACTCTCGCTGCCCCACGACCCTGAACCCCCTTTCGGTACGACGACGAAGAGAGAGAGAGAGTGATGGCACAGTGGTTGTTATACTCACACGCACGCGCGCACATTCGCTTTGAACCCGTCTGTCCGCAGCATGTCCGGCGCAGACACCTTCGGCCTCGGCTGTAAGCGAACGAGGTGGAGGCGTCACGGATACATCACGAACTAATCGCTGTGCTCAAAAGCAAAAGACAAATGTCAGGGTGGCGATGATGATGATGATGACGACGACGGTGAAAAATGATTACGACGTGTAATGTGATTAGTTGCATTGTGCTAAACGACAACATTTTTGCTGTATTTCTATTTGCTGAACAACATGTTGAACTCACTTCGAATAACTTAGAGCAAGTGAATGCAGTACACAGACTATTGTAATCAAGCACGTATCTCTGGTTCCCGACTCGGTCGACTACGATTGAACAAAATATTAGTTAAAAAAAAGAATGAAATAAATTAAATATATTGTAGGCCTTGGCTTATCAGCCTTTTATTTTAAATGTGCAGTGTTTCGTGGAAAAGTTGTGGCATGGAACGTATAAGCCGTATAAATGTCAGTCGTATTACTTGGCAAAGAATAAACAAGGAGCCCACATGTGTAATGTGTTTTTATTTTACTTTGGGTTTTTTTTGTAATGTTGAGGTAATTAAATCTGCTTTTTGATGTTTTTTTTTCCCCCTCTTGAATTGGGCTGTTGAATAGAACAGCTATTACCAATAACACCCCAGGGTTTAATAACCATTTGCAATCTGTACAAATTTTAATCTTTGTATATAGCTCGATGTTTGTAATGATTTATTGGGGGGGGCGGGGAGGATAAAAAAACAACTGAAATTTATACACATTCCAGAATATAGACAGAAGAATGAGGAAAAATACATAATAAACCTAATCACAGATCACCTATTCTCAAATCTTTACCTTATGCTGTCTCCGAGTTGAAGATATCCATGTACTGTCACGGTGTGTGTACATAACAAATGTTTACCGTCTTGTCAGAATTCACACTCGCATCCCGCGCTAGAAAACAAATTGTCTTGTTTTTGATTGGTAATTGTAATTATCATTATGAACGACTTTCTGTTAAAACTGTACATTTTAGAGGTTTCTAATTAAATTAAATTGGAATTGTACTTTAATCTGTGGTTTTGGACGTTATTGACGTGTCGTGCGTTCACGTGCAGAGATTGTGCTTGGAGCTGCAAATTGGCTATTTTAAATTATGACGTTCGATTGTTTTTGAAGATACGTAAAGGATCTGGGCAGTGTTCACATGCTTGGACCTGTGTGTGTGCTGGTGTATGGCTGCAATCACGTTTGTTCCTCTCGGAATTTAACACATTTGTATGAATACTCGCGAGCAGGGATATATCCACACTCCAGCACATAGCACGGTACACAGGTGGTGGTTAAAAATCTCATTCGTATATACAAGTGCCACTAAAATTAGTTTAATAAGACTTCCGTTTTAAATAGTAATCCATGGTCAAGTGTACGTGCGGGCCTCTGCAGTACTGCGGTTATCTTTAAGTTTGCACGTGCGTTTAATATCCAGTTATAAAATATTTAGCATGGCACATTCACAAACACGTAACGCGTGAATCTGTCTGTCATTAATGCTGTTTTAGCATAAATGTGGACACTAGAAATGGCTGGGGGGGGGGGCTAGTGAAGTGACTCCCTGGCAATTGAATGAATTGCTCCGTCCAATCGCAAGCTCCGTGGTGCCTCGTGGTGTGAATAATTCAGCTGAGCCAGTGCGGCAAGCCAGAGTACCATTTCACAACTTTGGGAAAGACGTCGAGATGTAGTGATTACTTGTAAAAGATGCGTGCATATTTTGAGAATATCTAGTTATTGCCGTATATCAGAATGACATTTTTTTAAACATCAGCAAACTTGAATTTTTTTTTTAAATCTACTGTGTCTACCCTTATCTTCAATTCATTTTCGAATGCATTGTAATTGTCACTTAGATATTTAAAGTCTGTTGAGATTTCCCTTTAAGATATCTTCAAATGGCATGCTTGTCTTTCACACAGGGCATGCGTGGCATACTTAAAACACAAATAATCACTAACGGCAATGCCCCACGCATTCAACATCGCCGGTAATTCCCATGCACGCGTCTGCGTGCGCCACATTGTAATGTTGTTTATTCTCATTGGCAATGCGAACAAAGGATGGGTAATAAAATTTGGCAGTTCCATCGAGTGAATTAGAGATATATATTGCGGCGAGTAAGAAGATTGGATTTTGAGGCTTACGCAAGTAGATCCTCTTCTCAGAGCCTTCAGAGGTGTGCACAGGATAAGTGGATGTGTGTGTGTGCATGCCTGCTAGTTTCTGGTGTGTATGTGTGTGCTGTGGCTGGGTTAAAGGCAAAGGTCCCCTGTATAGCCTTTCACAGACTTGGGGCAAGTGCTGTGAGCGAGTAGCACCGATGAAGTGGAGAGTGGCAACGTATTGATTCGCGTGCCGTGCTATGCACCTGGCGACCCGGGTTTGATTCCCGCTAACGGACAACACCAGTGACGATTGTCATAACCGGTACTTGGGCTTCCCTTAGGTTGACTCAGCCTCAAATGAGTACCTAGTGCGATGTGTGAAGATCGCAACTAGGGAGACAAAGGCGGCTGGGTGTGGTGCTGGCCACCCACCCCCTCGTGTACCTTGCCAGCCTTCAGAGGTGCTCGCTAACAGCACTTGCCCCCTACAGTCTGTTAAGGCGACACGGTGGATCTTTGCCTTTTTGTGGCTGGGTTAAAGACAAAGGTCCCCTGTATGGACTTTAACAGACTGCTTGGGCAAGAGCTGTTGGCAGGTACCTATGAAGTGGAGAGCGTTAGTGCAGAGGTTAGCGCACCGTGCTACGAACCCGGTGACCCGGGTTCCATTCCCGCTCACGGCCAACACCAGTGACGATCATCTGAATCGGTACCCTGGGGCTCCCCTGTAGATCGACTTGGCGTAAACTGAGCACCTGGGGTTATGTATCAACATTGGCACTCGGGAGACAAAGGCAGCTGGGTGTGGGGCCATGCTGGTCTGTCAGTGCTCGCTAACATCACTTGCCCCGGCAGTCTGTCTACGACTCTTACGTGTGGCTGGGTTTGGTTAATTTCTCATACTTTTTTTTATAATGCGTGGGTTCCTGAAGAGCTAGTGCACTTCTCAGCGATTTGCATCGCTGAGCATGAACGAATTCCACGTAAGTATTTAGGGAGTGATTTGTCCGATCCTCATGGTGTGTGGCCACATATTAGTCTGTCTTTTAAAAACAAAAAAAACGTGTACCTAGATCATCGCTTGAGATGGAACATCTCGTTTGCAACGGTGTTCAGCGACGTAAGGTTGCCTAGAACCAGATTGTAGTGACTTCTGCTCGCTCAGCAACGAGCCCACACATTCTCCGTCTACCTTTATCAGTAACAAACAACACGGGTTGTTTGTCCATAATATAGGTTGTCGTCTGATGAGGCCGGTTGTAATTACCGGCGCAAGGTCATACTCGAATTGTAAATGTAGTGGGTTTTGCTCTCCAACACACAACCGGTGTGCTCAACTAGTAACTAACGGACATTCTCTTTACGCGCCACACCTTACTAATTGGCTGTGTCGGGTGGTGGTGGGTTTAACGACGCACATGTACGCGATCTAACCCAACAAAAAGATGTTATGGACAATATTGGTCGCGAAAGTCCTGCTACGTTTTAAACTGACAGGTGGTTTGTCTTGATTTATACAGAACACGCCACCAACACACGGGAGGGGGGGGGGGAGACCCAACCTGGCTTGATTATGAGGAGCATTTACGGCGTCTATAAAACCCGCATAATAATAATAAACCAAGAGACAAAGTAATTTCCGCTGGTCACCCTGAGCCAGCGGAAAATTCCCTACATTTCCATGGTTTGTTACCGTAACGCCGATCACCCTGATTCGAAGTCCACCCGCCCTGTATTGCACCAAGCATTGTCAATTGGACGGCAAGAGACGCGCACGGTTGATGCATTTGTAGACCACGTGGAACGCACGTGGCCTGATTAATGACTCGTAATACATTTTTTTAGCGAATTGCACGGCGCGCGCGTGTGCGCTCGCAGATCCATTTCAATTAATCACGCGGCTGGCTTTGATCGGCATTCGCAATTGGCACGGTTGAATCGGTTCGGCGACCCAACCACGGACCAGACCCCCCGTGCAACGTGCAAGCTAAACACACGTCTTGTATGCATGCATGCATGTGCACGTTGTGTGTTCTATTCGGATTGTGTGTTCATATCAGAATGCACAGGGTCGCCGACGTGCCATATGGGACCATCGCTCGCCCCGGTAAGATACGTGGAAGAACACAAGTGCCTCCCCCCCCCCCCCATACAATACCTATCTGTATGCACCCCATGTACAATGTTCCATGGCCACAAGTACCGTATTGTTTAATTCTGTTGCTTTCCTGCGACGGCTCACTAAGATTTTCATTTTTTTGGGTGGCACTGCCAACGGTAGTGCCCCCTCCCTGCACGCGCCGATGTTATTATTGTTGTTGTTTGTGTTCTGCTCTTGCCTGCCTAAAGTCTCTCGCCGTAATGATTCATTGCCTCGTCTCGCGCAAAGCACGACGGCGTTTGTTATTATCCCGTTACGCTATCGCATCCTCGGCGGTTTAAAACAGAAACAAAACTTTTTTGTATCTTTTTTTTAATGCGCGGAGCCGAAGCAATGTCGCGAATGCGGATCTGAAACTCGCTGTCAACCACACCAGGCGCGCGTCGGTACACAGGGGGGAGGGGGCTGGGGGAGGGGGCTGGGGGAGGGGGATGGGGGAGGGGGCTGAGGGAGGGGCTGAGGGAGGGGGCTGAGGGAGGGGGCTGAGGGAGGGGCTGAGGGAGGGGGATGAGGGAGGGGGCTGGGGGAGGGGGTTGGGGGAGGGGGATGGGGGAGGGGGATGGGGGAGGGGGCTGAGGGAGGGGGTTGAGGGAGGGGGATGGGGGGAGGGGATGGGGGGAGGCGGCTGGGTGGGGCCAATCGCCCGAGATTTGTAGAATCATTTTTTTTATTTTTTCCGCCGATGATTTCCGCTGTGTTGTTTTTTTATCCCGCTGGTGAATTTTTCTTTCACATTTTTGTTGTGTAAATGCCGAGAATGATGTTTAATTGGGATTCCAGTGGCACGCGTACATAGTGGCAAAAAAATACAAAGATCCTTTCTGTAGCCTTTCACAGGCTGTTGGGGCAACTGCTGTTAGTACACATGAAGGCCAGCATGGTACTTGAGGGGGTTGGGTGGCCAACACCACACTCGGCCTCCTTTGTCTCCCCAGTGTCGATACTTGCACACTGCACCACCCAGGTATTCATTTAAGGCTGAGTCAACCTACGTGAGGCCCGGGACCGGCTAAAAATATTCGCCACTGTGATTGGTTGTGAGCGGGAATCAAACTCGGGTCGCCAGGTTCGTAACGCAGTGCGCTAACCACTATGCCACCGCTCCCCACTACAGACGCGACACTCATTCCCTGTCCACACGGGAAGCGTCCCTTTGCTGGTAGCTGATTATACGTGGAAGTTTGTTCATTTATATTTAGCACGTGGAGCATGGACACGTGTTATATTATGGTTTCTCTTTTTTTTAAATACAATTTAACGATACGCACCAAATGCGTTAAAATCTGCCCACAGGAAAAGTGTTCCCTTTGAGCGTGCCGCTTATTCTGTGTAGAATCACGCAAAATCAAAACCACTGCTCCCGCGCGCGATTATCTCGCAACGCGCCAGTGATCTCTGCTTATGCGCGCGATTACGAGGTTATGCTATTATGGGATTAACGCTAATGTCAAGGGTCACGGCGGTATTGGGATGAACACACTGTGTGTGTGCAAAGCTAGCACACTGGATGAATCTAGAACATGTGCACGTATTGGGCCAGTACAGCTATTTCACGTGGCACAAGGTTTAAATAAAGGATAATTTTACTCCACCCACCATTAATTCCAGGTTTATGAAATAAGCACCATTATGTGGAAAATCAATCGTCATTCAGTAAAAGAAAGAAAATCCTCATTGTATATTTGTTATTTATATTTTTCATTGTATTATTTAAATATATAATAATTATTGTTGTTCGAGTGATCAGTCA